TTTTTTTTTCTTTTTTTTTTTTTGCTAACTTTGATAATAAGATTGGTTCTTAACGGTTCTACTAATTGTTGGCTATAAGCACCAAACTAATACACTGCACAGCATTACTGCTGTCTAGTATTTTTTACAGACTTCTTAACTGTACTATCAAACAGTAACTTTAAAATACTAATGCAAAAATGATTTCAAAAAATTTTTTGGTCATTACAGCTTATTTTTCTGCATGATATGATTTCAGAAAGTTGTTTTTACAGAGCTTAAACAACTGCTAAATCCACTTGGAAACTCATATTGGTTGCTGTCTCAAATTAAGCAAAATATTGACCATACCGGTTGGACATTAGGTTCATTGGCAAGACCAAAAAATAAAACTGGTACAACTATTGGAAACGATGCTTTAGACCAATTTGTTGCTGTTGTTAAACAGGTACATTGAAATAGCATTTGTTAAGTATTAGCTGGTTTCTTTTCTCCTTTTCTCTAGTGTTTAAAAAGTCTATTAAACCATTATCAGCCTCCAAACATTGTTCCTCATATTCAATAAATTTTTATGTTTTCTTTTTATGCCCACTGAGATTTTCAGCTTTAGTTTAACAGAACTGTCCTGATGAAATTTGGACTAAAAATTTCTGCTAATTTGTTGTACTTGAAAACACTGAAAGTTAAGGTTCCTGCTGACTGTAATAAAATGCTACAATGGGCAACGGCATTGGTTCCTTCACCTTCTATAAGATTTTTGATGTCTTCCTCGAACGATCAGACTACTCCAAATCCCGATTCTGCTGGACTATATTCAATGCATAATTCTGATTTTTTTAAAAGGTTTATTATTTATTCCTTATACAATGAGCTTTTTTTGGGAACGGAATAGTAACTGCATTTTACAAACTTACATAATTTAGTTTTCAAGTTTTTAGCTTAACTGAACACTTTTTTGGAAATTTGACTATCACACTTTTTTCCTCAAAACTATAAACGGAAATTATATGACAAATTTTTTTCAGTATTTTTCAGTTTCATTCTTTTAGGTCGTCGGACTTTGACAACAGTTCAAATGATTCCAAACGTTGCTCAGTTACTTCTACATTGACAGCGTCAAGTTCAAGCGATCTTCAAACACCTTCAGCAACAAGGCTTCGCTCCAATTTTGGTGTTTTGTCCAACAATCAAAACGGATATCCTGTTCCAGAAGTGAACAATTCTTATAATTATGGTCAACGATTAGCGACACCTGCTACCCCGCAGTGTACCATTAGCCAGTCTAACAGTAACGGTGAAAGTCGAGTTTTTGAAGAAGACGATTTAGAATCTGTTTTAAGCGACAGAGAAAGTCTTTCTCAGGTAATTTTTATGTTCTAACTATTTACTTTTTATTTAATTAGCATTTTAGATGTAAGTTATAAGCATTACAAATGCACAGTAAGAAGCTTTAGGGTTCTAGTTAAACTGTAATCAGCACTTAAAATTACCGTTTTAGAGGATTTAAAGTACTCAAAATACTTTTCCAGCTATCATAATTTATTGTCATATAAATTTGTTACTGAGCAGTAGAACCAATGTTATACTGATATCCCAGTGCTAAAATATTTGAAAGAAATTGAGCATAGTTTAAAATTATTCGGTGCAGAATTTTTGTTTATAAATCTTCATCTTCTGTCTTGTAAAGTCTTGACTGCATTTTGGAAAAGCTATTATTTTTTGAGCATAATGAGAGTTACTCATGCAGTTCTATAATGTTTCTAAAAACAAAAAAAAAGAGCTTATCTCACTTGCCCGTTAAAAATTCAGTTTGAAAATTTAGTATTGTTTAATTCGCTTTCATAAAGTCGAGTTACACTTCTTGTTGATAAATTTTTGAACTTATGGATGGCAAGCATCGCTTTTAAGAACTTAAGTGGTTCTTATTCTAGACAAAAGGAATTCTTTTCAATTGTTGGTAACAAAACTTTCCAGAATTGATCATTTAACGAAGGGAGCACTACTATAATTGCTTTTAGGACTATGGACTAACTGGCGAAGACACTCATGGATCACTTCGGAAACGACCAATTACAAATGGCCCACCTTCTATACAGCTTAGTTCTGAAGTAGGATCTTTAAATGTTTTGAATATTCTTCTCTAAAGATGCTCATTTGAAACTTTTGAAGCCATAGCTAATTTGTTGTTTTTAAGCTTACGAGCAAGCTGTCTGATGATGATCGTCAGCTTCTCAGGTTTTATGCTCCACAACTAGAGTCTCACATTGTGTTCTTATCAGGAGCTATTGAAGAATTTTTGAGTATAGTTGAAGAGCAATTACCGCCACGTGAATTTGTTCAGAAGGGTAAACTGGTAAGGAAACTTTTTCAGTTTGTAAAATACCTTTTTTTTGTCTTTTATATATTAAATTTTGTTTAATTTCGGTAGTTTTTAAAAGTGCTGTTTGTTCAAATTAATAAACATAACCGGAAAGCCAAAAATTAAAGTTAATTTAATTTGTCTTATTGCTATTTAATGGTAACTTTTTTCAAATAAAAAAAAATTTTATTAACAAATAAAACTGGTCATCATAAAAGATTACTTTTTTCTTCTTCATATTTATTATCGCTGTTATGGTTATTACAGATCATTCTTACTGCGCATAAACTGATTTATATTGGTGACAACATTGCACAGTGTGTATCAGCACCGTTTTTGACTGCCGAAGCCCAGAAGGCAGCTGATCGGCTTTGTTGTGTGCTGAAAAACTGTGTTCAGGCAACTAAGAATGCCGCCGACAAGGTTAGTAGAAAAATTTTTTCACTGAATATTGCCAACTTCCAGTTTTCTGTTTTCTTTTCCCGTTCTTTTTTTTTTGCCTTTATTGAGGTAGTCTGTAGCCTTAGTTTGATTAACTTGATTTCAGTATCCGGACGTGTCTGCTGTGCAGACAATGGTTGATTCGGTTGTCACGGTATCCCATGCTGCCTATGATCTAAAACTTCTGGTAAAGCAGTGCTGTTGAAGAAAGTTTAATTTGTAAATTTGATAGTTTTATCGGTTTACTGTCTAATGATTATTTGAGAATAATATATGCACTTTATTTGTTTATTTATAATATTTTTTGTTAAATTATACGAAAATAATTGCTTTTCTTCTTTCTTGTAAGTGTTCAATTTGTTTCATTTTTTTTGAGGGGGGTAGATCGATTTGAAACGAAGTTCTTTACTGATTTGCTTTTATTTTCAAAATATCTTCTAGTGGTAAAATTTTAAGTAAAATGTGAAACTTCTCAGTGATATAGAATGTCTACTTTTACTACTTTTACTATTGTTTTTCTTCTAAAAAAAATTGTGTAGAATTAATATCGCAAAACAAAACTATGTCTGTGTTAGCTTTTTTTTGTTTACAAAACAAAAAAAAACTCTTTAATTTTTATGTCTCTATTGTGACATAAAAAAACAGATTTTTTTTGGTAATTTTACTAATATTTCTATTATAAAGAAAAGTTGCTGATTTATTTGTCATCATCAACGACGGTTGATCTTTGGGTTGCAGGCTGATAAAGAGTAACTGAAAAAATTGTCGTTGAAACATGTTTGTATATAAGCTTAAAAGCATCACTGAAGCATCTTTTGTGCATCCTGGGTTTTTGGTGATAAACAGGTCTGTAATAAATTAGAATAAGTTTGTGTTATTGGAACAACTAAAAAGTGACGAATAAAGCATAAAAAAAATTACAATGGGAGCTTAGCAGCCTTCATTTGTCTATTTGTAACAGAGTTCCAGAAGCACAGTTTTACCAATTTTAAAAACAAAACCTAAAAATATGAATGTTTTACTTACAAGTCTAAAAATCAAATTTATAGCTGTTTGAAGACGTCGAAAATTTGCAACTGATATGCTGTGTACAAGTATTTACAGAATATTGGCTACTTTTCACTAATTTATGAATTTGTTTTACTCAACCAACAATTTCTAAAAAGCTATATATTAGAGCATAATCCAGGATTTGAGAATGAGTGAAGGAAATCCAAATTGACACTTTTGAAGCATCGTCATATTAGTTTTCGTGTTTTTGCTGCATACCGTTTCTACGGTAAAAGGAGAAGAGTCAATACTCAAATTTTTTAAACACTGTAAGAGACAGCAACAAATAAATGCAGTTCTAATATTATCAGTCTAATACTATTTGAGTAAGACAGTTTGATGAAAAGTGCTTGCTTGAGAAACAGTTACTTAAAACAGAGTCTACGCAGAAATGACTAATTGTTGAAAAGAGATGCTGGAGTTCGTTGTCATTTAAAGTATGAAAAGAAGAATTTTCCAAGTATGCACCTAAAAAATTCAAAATTTTAGTGCAGAAATGTTGACCGATTCTCGATTACTGGTGTTTAAACGCGGTAAGACCACAAATATTTTGAAAAGGATATGACTTTTTAGCGCAATCCAAGTTAATTTTTTTTTACCGCACTGTACCTTGACTCCAGATTTTGAACCAGTTTTCAAAGTTTCTTCTTCTTTTCTATTAACAGAACTCTAATATAAAGTTTTGAAGCAGTTGCGATACATACAACTACAACAAAATACAAGTTTTTGTCAACAACTCTGTTCTTTTTTTTTTGTGTGTATGAAGTTTATGACCCAACTATTTGTTCCAGTTTCGGAATAGTTGACGTACTTCTTCTTCACTTTTTCAAAAACTATTGTGAGCTGCAACTTTAGTTTTCTTCAATGTAATATCACAAGATGGTTTTGATGGTAACGCGTGGGGAAATAAATAACAACCAAGTTTTGAATCCACAAGTTCCAAAACCTAAGCGGCTTGAATATTTTTTGATGCAGTTTTTACACTCATAAATCTAGTATTACTTGGCTATTTCCACTCTGCAGTTAAAAAATTGAACCTTTAACCTAAACTACTGCAGCCAGAAATAATAAAATCCATCTGCAATTCCGAGTTGCTATGAATGAGTTGGTGAGATAGATCATTTTTTGGCGTAAAGTGACAGACTTACTTCAGTCTTCTTTTATAACTTATTTGCTTGTGGCCGGCCCAATTTAAGATTTTAATATTTATTAAGTCCACAAAGAAAAGTTCCTGAAAAAAACATGCTTTTTTAGAAAGATAAAGAATTTAATATTTATTTAGATTACTTAAAGTAAAGGCTCTCTACTCGTTTTTCTTCATAATTTGTGCCAAAAAATGAAGTTTAAGGAGACTTGGAAAGGTGTGAAATATGGATTTTAAAAAACTTTAAAAGTGTTTAACCATGTAACAAAGTGAAGAACGTTAAGAGTTTTTGAAATTGTTCATATATGGTGAAATATCTCTAAATTACGGCAGTGTTAGAACGTGTCAGTCTCTTCTGCAGTAGGCCCATAAAAAGCCTCTGTAGTTTCCAAACTGAGACCACCTTTTGTAATTTAGCACGCTTGGAAAGAAATTTAAGGCATCAGTTAAAGCACGTGCACTTTTTGATAAGGCATAGCCAGCAAAAAAAAAAAAAGATTTTCTCTTGCTGATGAGACTTTTAATTTCTCCACGTCTGCCTTCTTTAGTGGTGACTTGAGCATAGGTTACCTGAAGCGAGGCTTTTTGAAATTAGCCAAGAGTTTTAATTGCAGTTTGATACTAGATCCTTGGCAGATGAGAAAGAAATGAAATTACAAGCCATAAACTACGAAAAGTGAAATGAATAAGGCTAAGAAACGTCTGCGTAAAACTGGAAGTAAGCTGTCGATAAAATTCAGGGCTTCAAGGATGCTTGTGGTACGTAAACTGTAATTCTAAGTGACCCGCTAAGTGAACAATTTCAGGGGATGATGTGCCAGACGTGTAGGGCATGTTCGAGGAGTAGCAAAGTCTATATTAAACCACTGTGAGCGAATTTAGTTTAAATAATGTCTTTTAATAACTCTTCAGATGACTCGTTAGTCAAAAAAGTCATAAAAAATCTTCTTCGCAAGTTATAAACTGTCTGTTGTGCTAAAGCAGCTGGACCACTCAAGTACACTCGCACTTCGCTAACGGTAGGAGAACACCTCTGAGCTGGTCACTAAACAATAGTAGTATTTTCTACAGTGTTATGAAAAGCCTGCAGAATCGCTTGGTTGATACGGCAGAATACCATAGGGCTTCGATTGTTTAAAGTTATCACAGAGATGGGTGTAATAAAGGTGACGACAGTGCGTTTTAACGACCAAGTTGCGTTTGCCAAAATGAAGCGTAAAAGCGGTACTTCTGCAATTTTGTGCACCGGCACCTTTACTATTTTTTAATTATGGGCTTATAAACTTTATTTCTTAAATTTTTTGGAGACCTAGATCTTTACTGAACGTAGGCATCATTATTGCTAAAGCAAAGAATTATTTTGCCAGCTTTTCTCACTAAAATTTCATATTATGTGAAAGTGAAATTTTTGAGAATTTCCAGTCAGTAAATGACTGTATTTGAAAATCTAGAAAATTACTTATTTCTGTCTGAGAATAAGTACATTTGTCCTCTAATTTCCAAACCTGTCAAAAATTTCGGTTGTTTAATGAATCACAAGAATGTTGCGAATAATTACATTATTTTGAGAAATGCTCGACGTTTCAGGTAAAAATAAAGAAAAATTGTCTGTTATGATAGTGGGTAAAAACTTCTAATTAACTAATCAGGAGAAATTTTTTGTAACAATGCTTTCCGCAATTGCGCAAATATGTTAGGCATTAAGTTCAACTATAAAGAGAAAGTCACTAAAAAGGGTTTACAAATTGTGGTTTTTGCAATATCTGTCTAACTGCCAAAAGTAATTTTGGTAATTCTTCTGATTTTGTACCTAAGAATGACTGAATGCCCTTTAGTCAGTAAAATTGGTTCCCTTCTTTATACCTAATCAACAGAGAAGAAACTTTTGATTCGCCTTTTTTTGAATCTCTTTTAGGAGACCAGTTATATCCTTTTCTCTCGCCTCTCCTCTCCCTGAGCTTGAATCATCCAAACACTCTCCCGCCTTACTTATCCTCTATCTAAAGAAGGCTCTAAAACTACGTACTTTGTAGTGTATCGCCAAATGACTTTTCTGTTGTTGCCTAGATTTTGCTGGGGTCTTACTTGCCTCTTACTACTTTTTTGCGCGGAAGAGTATTAGCAATTTGTAAAAAAACTTTGTCAATAACACCAAACTTTTTTGACTGAAAACTATTTTGATAGTTTTTAAAGTTACGCCGTCTGTTCACGGTCGCCTTGTGCAAATAATTTATATTTCAATGTTTATTCGACATCAGGCATCACTGACTTCTAAATAAATTGTTTAGGACCTGGAGAAGCAAAAATTACATTCCTACTCCAAACAAAAGAAAACTACTGTGCAGAAGCAGCAGAGTATTCTAGAAAACTCGGTAGGGTAGCATTCCCGAATTCACACCTAAACATGGACCAGAAAAAGTTTCATTAAAACTGTAAAAGCAAAAGTTACGAAGGAAACAGATATTGAGTTTGAAAAGCTAGTTCTCAAGTACAATAATAAGCAATGCATCTCACTTTTTTTTTGCTTCATACAATACAGGTTTTTCATTGTTTTTTTTTCTTCTTCTCTATTTGTCGTACGGAAATCCTTAAGGACAGCCAGAAACAATGTATCACTTCAATATCGAAAATATGCATTGTTTCAAATCAAAACTAACCGAGGTAAAGAATAGCGTTAACAAGAACACAATTGGACAAAATGAATTGTGAAACTGTACAATAACTTTTACTTTTCAATTTATAGACTACCTACAATTTTTTCCAACACCTGATTACTCTCTGACCAAATTAACAAAAAAAAAGCTACTTCGGCATTTTATAGACTGCAAAAATACACTGAAAATGTAAGAATTCAGTAGCCTTACTCCGGTTTCCTTCCTATGGTTCTTAAGTTCATTTCAACGACCACTCAGAACGTCGCACTGAAGAAAACTTACTTTGAAACATCTTTTTAACATAAAATGTCACCCTTAGATAGAACTTAACACACCTCCGTTTCAGTTTTGGTTTCAGATTGCGTTTTCAATGTTATGTTTTCACATTCAAAAAGGTCTTGCTTTAAGAAAATGGCTTTCTACGCCAATGGCTTTTCGATTTGTGGCAGCCTGGGCAAGAGCTTATTACCATTCCAGAGAAGCATTAGAACTTTTATTCTCTTCATCACCTCTTTTTTATATGAAGAATTTATTTCTGAAATTCAATTCATAGATGAAGTGGCATTGCCAGATCTGATGGCTGCTGGAACAAGTAGGCAGTATAGAGTGAGGCAGCAGCTTTCTATATTATGGCAAAACGCCGATGTGTTAGGTCCAGAAATGGAGATGTTGAGTGAACAGAAAAGCGAAGTGGTGAGTGCTTTTCTTCCTCAGATAGTCAGATTTCTCTAAAATCTTGTGGAATACGAACTAGAAATAATTAAACAGAAGTCAGTGCCAACGTTAGATGTATCACATGACATGAATAAAAGACACCCGCAGAGAATGGTGCCTAATTCATGTAATAAAGTTTGAAGTGCTCCACTTAAGCAATTTTCCGGCCGAAAACACTGTTCTGAATGCAATGAATTATCGTTGAAGAACTACTTAGCACTCCCCAAATGCACATGCAAGATAGACTACTAAAGTCAAAGGCCGTTAAAACTCACTGAATGAAAATTACAGTTTTCAAAGGTGATGATGCCGAGCAAAAAATGACTTCTTTAACACCTCAGCGCCGTTCCATATGAATTGCACTCCTCTAAATATACATATCGCTGTTGAAAGAGACTTTAAGCAGCCGAGGAAGTACTTAGTTTTGTTATGCCCACTTAACTGAGCTATTTTTTTAAGCTCCTAGACGCAGCGAGAGTCTAGTAGAGAAGAACTAAGCACAATTTTCCTTACTTCACTGTTTACTGCTTTATAGTGTCTCAGAGCCCAAATATAGACACTCGGTGCTATTAACGTGTTCTCCGGTCAAGATTTCTAATTACTACTCTCTCGAGTTGATATATATGTAAAATTGATTTTTCTACTGTGGTTTCAAGCAGTGGGAGATAATCTCATGCATTTTTTCTGATAACATGCATTTTTTCATTCTCAAAAGAAACGATACAGGTGAATTATAATAGAAGTCAAAGCAATCTCCCTTTTAAGACTCATAATCAATGAAGAATCTTTAATCGTATTTTGTTCCTCTAAAAAATATGAAATGATTGCCTTAAACTGTTAGTATTTGCAAACTGCCCTAACGGCTTTCCTAGATTTCAAAAGTTAAAAATTTCTAGGTTTGAGCTTTACTATATAGCACTTTTTAAAAAACCTTTTACAGACTGAACCAATTTTTGATTGTCTACAATGATCATAAAGTCTCAAAAATTTTTTTTTAAAGAGTAACGGAAAGGATAGTCACTTCTCTGTTACCGTTCTGTAGTGTTTTAAAACGTTCCAGCAACAATCAGTGGAATAAACTGTATGGGTTTTAAAGGAGGAAAAAATTAAGGCCATCAACCCAATAGAGACACATAATTCACATAAAATAATCCTATTCGCTCCTTTAATACCCCTTTTAACCATTCAATTTTTCAATTTTCACTTTTTCACATCGTGCTTCTTCTTACTCTTATGCATCGACACTATATATTTGACTATTTGCGAACAAATAAAATATTTTTTTTTCCTTCAAAGTGATTACTGTATCGTCCACCTCAGTATGCGTAGTCTGGCAAATTACTTATATTCTACAAAACTGAAAGAAGAAATTGCTTGAACCCTACAATTTCTACAATCAGAACTGTCAGTTTGGTTTCTCAACCATGACTAAATCTATGCGAATTGTTTTTCAATATCAGGAGGCTTTAACTGATATTCAGTGATTAGCCAGCCAAACCTTGGAAAATTCAACCAGATGGACTGTTAATTGAGTGCCTGTATAGTAAATGTTACATAATCATTTGGCATTTTTTAGAGCAGTTCTAAGTGTTTGCATGTAACAGTGGGTAACAACAAGTCTCCATAAAAATCAAAATAATACTACCAACAATATATTATCACTGGAACCATATGTGAAGGCATAAATGATAACAGTAGCAATACAGCCAGATGGATGACAGATTGGCAGATTAAATGATTAATCGACAGCCAGCCTTTTTGTGATACACATAACTACATAGGGCGTAAGCCAATTTGTATCCGGTGTATCCATTGTCTTTTATATTAAAGCTTCACTGCCTTGGAATTTTGCCAAGGATCAGATTTTTGACGCACACTACAAATCTGTTAACAACAACGGCGACTACGTACAGTGAATAAATATACACACGGATCAAATATATCAGTTATATCCCTGATAGTTTCTTTTTTTTTTTTGCAGAACACTGCCTCTGGTCTGGCAGTTGAAATGTATAGATTCATGTTTATTTGTTCGTTTGTTTGTCAATTTATTTGATATATCTATGTGTTTTGATGAAATTAAAGAATGGTGTTCTCGGAAGAATTATGGGAGGGGAAAAAATAGAGTTTAATTGTTTAATTGCTAATACACTTCGGGTTTTTTTCCTTTTTTTTTTTTTGGTCGCCACCTTATCTGTGGCATTATAAAATGATCTGTATATAACTCAGTGTTTTCTGCGACAAAATAACTGTGCCATTCAGCATAAAGTTTAGTAGTGTTCCGTAAATTTCAATGAGTTTTTAATGCAGTTGAATCGTTTGCAATTTCGCCCTCTACTTTGTAGTTTTATTCGTACTGCATAAAGTGTTCAA